GCATTTATGACTTAGAGTCTGTATAGCTGTTGCCATCCAAAGAGACCCATCTTGTACACGAGTAAATTAAGTGGTAGTACAGTGATGAATTTCTGCAGGAAGCCTCTACCAGCCTGCTCAAATGCCAGCTCACCAGACTGCACCACAGCACTATTTATTCAATATGAACATGCTTGAATTTGCAATGCCCAAGCAGCATTCCTACAGTGACTGATAAAAGTAGTGTGTGTAACTACAAAGGGATGTCAGATTTGCTCAATAACTTGCTACCAGCAAATGCTACTGGTACAGCTTTTATATGGATAATATAGCACTATACTAAGGCCATTTTTTGAGTGATATAAATTCCCCAACTGTGTGGGTGCAGAAAGGCTATTGTTGCTTTCCTCAAAATCTACTCAAGTTTTAATTTATTTTTCTCTCTACAGAAACAAGTGAAGAAATCTTGCTTTTATTTGTGGACATTTTATACATGTATAGTAAGCTTTGGTTAATTTTATATTTGATGGACTATACTTTATATGAAGTTATAGACTATGTTACATGAGGGGCTTTTCTTTTTACTTATAGTCTTTCAGTACATTAAGAATAAGCAGATAAATAGCCTATCATTATACATTATTATCTTTTAGTAGTTCTATCTAAGCCATACACAGCAGTAACAGCTTTTACAAGCTTTCAGCATTATACTCTTAATTTTTTAATCTTACAGTGTAGAGTAGCCATCATAGTTGGGCTTGTCATTGACTAACTAGAAAAGAGGATGTACTGTAAAATATATGCGACAATCTATGCATAGCTTCACTATTCATCATACATAAGAAGGGTTCACTATACCACCCTTTGCAGAGCTAGGAATATTTCCAAAATGAGGCATAGTTTGAGTAAAACATCAATAATGCTACAGTACCTGCACAGTTCAGCAATTCATATAGCTCAAAGTATAGCCTTAGTATATATTGCTATCCAATCCACATAAAAGCTGTACCAGTACTACTAGTCATTAGCAAGCTATCGAGCAAATCCAATACCCCTTTGTAGCAGTGTTGTGCCGATCAGTGACTGGTCAATGACTGGTCACTCCAGTCAATGACTGGTCAATGACCGAGTCAGACATGACTGTGACTGACCGGTGTTCTGGGTCCCACCCCGGCAGCCAATCGCGTAGCAGGACGCCATCAAGCTCTTCTGCCCTTTCGTGGTTTGCCGTCGCACGTTGTCGAGTAGCGAATGTACGATGTACCCATAAGTTACCAGATAGCTAGCTACAAAGGATACGAGTCTGGGTCATAATCTCCATCTGCATCCATGTCAACAATGCTATAAGCCTCAAGTTCCTTGTCTAAGCTCCGAATACCCCACTTTTCCACCATTGTCACCCAGAAACGGTCCTGATAATTGAAGAGTCGTGCGAGAGGCAGCTTGTATGGCTCGCCATAGGATGCCAGAGTGATTGGTACATGGTCTTCCTCTGTAAGGTCCTCCTCCGCTTGGGCATCTTGCATTAGGCCCTGTGCAATGGTGTTCAGGGAGCCGACGTGACAGAGCATGACGGAGCGTTCCGCATCGTGTTCCGCATCGCTGTCCACATCGTTCGCTTCGCGCAGTGTGATGTGTGGCAGCACATTGGCTGGCGTAGCTGGTGGCGCCAATGCTGGAGAAGCCGAAGAAGGTGGTAGTGGGACTGTAGAGCTGGTGGCAGGAGGAGTGGACATGGGTGATTGTGACGAGGGAGCGACAGCCGAAACATCAATGTAGAGCCAGTGCCTACGTTTGGCACGATCGACTCGTGTGCCTGAGGCTTCCTGCTCACAACGAATGTGAGTATTAAGCTCTGCTTCGTTGGTGAGATTGTCTGCCGTGAGCCGTGAGCGTCCGGGAGTGAGGATAAGCTTGAGTAGGCTGAAATATCTCTCCGCTCCGCCATTATTGGGACATATCGGCAGGATCAGCTCAGCAACCTGCTCCAGTGGACAGAGCTGAGTACCACGCCTGATATCCCTCCAAACTCGCAAAGGATTGTCTCCAGAGAGCTGGTCCTGGTACCAATATAAATTAGCTAAGCTGAATTCAATTGCAGGAAACAATAGAACATGGCTTACTGAGTAGGTTGCTGCTTCTGTGCTGCTAGCTGCTTGTCTAGTAGTCCAAAGACTGGCCATACCCTTGAATTGCCCAGTGTCCTCTAAATATGACTGAAGATTTTGCTCCAAAGTGAGAGGAGGAGCTGTAGCAGCAGGAAAAAGGTGTAGATAGACACGCTGCATCAGCATAAAAATATCCGCAAAGCTGAACTCCCCAGGGTTAAATGGACAGAACTTTAACCCAGGATGGAGAATAATAGCAGCAATGAAGATATCCTGATCTGCAGCCTTCCAGCGCTTTTTGACACTGGAAATAATAGTCCTGCAGGCCGTGTCGTCATCTGCATCAGCTCCTTCTACTGAGCGAAGAGAGTTAAAGTGATGATACAGCATGCCAAAGACTAGAGGGACATGGTCAAGGTGGGTTGATGATGCCTGAAGGATGTCCGCAGCTTGTGCAAGCGGTCCAAAATGGCTTTTCGCACTAAATTCAAAGCTTAGAAAAATTCTAAAACAAACAAGTATTCAGAGCCCGACCGTGCCAGAGAGTGCCAGAAGTAGCCTGTTTCTATAAGCTTGATCATTTGTTCTGCTTTTGCCCTTGCCTCAGGTTTGCCAGTAATGAGTAGACATTCAGATCGGTTCTCGTCCTCTTTCAAAAGGATTTGAAAATCGTTCCGGACTTCCAGAAGACGGCGATATGCAAGATAGTGTGCGATCCAACGAGTGATGACAGCTCGTATAATGGTAAGAGTTCTATGGCGTGTGCGCAGTTGAACTTCCTGTAGCAGGCCAAGGATGCAGGGTGGCTACGAAACCATGTGATGAGCTGATCGGCCATTCTTGCCTGTGCCAAAAATCGTGCCCCGCATTT